CACAACGGTTCCCTCACCCAAACTCTCTTGTGCTGTCCTTTTGTAGTCACATCCTCTCTCACACCGTAACCTCTGCCAACCACTGAGAATTATTTTCCATCACTGTAGTTCTGTCTTTTTGAAAACTCCCTTTCCTTTTGCTCTCCCTTTTGCTTCATGCATGTTTAAGTGTGAGTGCAAAGGACTTTAGATCCCATGCCAGCAGACTGTCTCCTTTACAGTTATTGTTTTGTTATTTTCTGTTGCTAACATTTATTAGCATCTGTGATGTCCCAGGCATTTGTGCTAAGCTTTTTACATACATTATCTTATTTTAATCTTACAAGAGCCTGATGATATATGCACGCCATTATTATCTCCACTGTACAAATATGGAAACTGAGGGTAAGAGAGGTTAAGTGACCCTGCCTAAGGCAAATAATTGAATCCCAGCACAAACCCAGCTCCATCTGATGACATATCCTTAACATTACGGTAAGCAATAAAAGGGAAGGGATTGTGACTCGGAAGGAGGTACACAGAGAGAGGTTGAGGGCAGAGCCAATTTGGTGCCATATGGTTTTTTGAAAGATTTGCAAAATGTGTGTGAAGGTGGAGAACCATCTGGGTCTTCTGACTTCTCAACCTCAGCTCCTGCCTTTATGTGTTCCTCCACCTGTCACATGTGGTCCTTGCTGACCCAGGTGGCATCTGCTTGCTGTTTTCAGGGGCTTCAGACAGTCTCACTCCCCTTGCAAATTCAGCAGAAAGCACTGTCTGTGTCACAGGACACAGCAGCTGAGACCCAGGAAAGGAGTTAGATGCCTTCTGGTTTCTACGCAGCCTCAATTCCCTCATGTGTTTTCTGACCTGATTTTCCCCCCCTTGGGGGCTTGCAACACCAGCTGAAAAAGTTTCCAGGACACAGTCACCTGGTCTTTGTGCTGGAGGTGGCAGGTATGTTCTCGCTGAGCTGGGGCAAGTGAGACAGAAATGTATGTGGTTGGCATGATGTGTAACAAAGAAGGGAGAAAGTCCGGCCTTGCAAGACCTGGGGCAGCAACATTTGTGTCAGGGATAAAGAGACAGGAGAATAAAAAAGAGAGAGAGAAGTTAATGAAGAAGTTGGAGATGCCGGGAAGTGGAAGGTTCTTGCCCTGCATATGTGTTCATTTGAGCTTGTTATTTGGGGAAGTGAAGTTTGCTAGCAAGTTACCGTCTTGAATCAGTTCCTGCCTCCTTTAGAGTCTTGGAAATGTGCTGCCGAGCCAGCATAAGTTGGGGAGAATCACACATCTGAATCACAGCCATAGGTCATTTGGAGAAAAATCAAACAGGCTGGAAATCAGGGTACCAAGGGCCATCTTTGGTCCTTAACAAAGGACCATTAACAAGCCGGTGAAAGAGGATGTGCCATTTAGAGTAAAAAATATTAAGTCACTTCAATAACAACAACAACATTTACTGAGCACTCAGTATGAGCCAGTCCCTGTGCTGAGAGCTAATTGGCATGAATCATTTCATTTCTTTCTTGCAACACCCCTCTGAAGTAGGTACTACTGTTAGCTCCAATTCACAGATCGGGACTTGGAGGCCCTCAAGTTTAAGTGACTCACCCACAGTATACAACAACTGAGCAGCACAAGCAGGATTTGAATTCTTCTATTTTTCAAACCTAAGTTCGCAAGCTTCTCTGCTTTACTGCCTGTCTTAATTCACAAATATTTCTAAAAATTAACACAGCGAGGAGGAGAGATCAATTATTCAGAAGCCTGTAATCTTCTGGAAGACTTGCCAAGATCCTTTGGCTTGACTGCTGTAAGGGAAGGAGTAAGAACCTGTGGGATTTGCACAGCCAGGGGCCGTCCAAGAGTCTTTCGATCTCACCTGTTGGTTTGAAATAATTGCACGCTGTAGAAATCTACAGCCATTTCCCAAGCTTTCTTTTTACCCAGTAGGCTTGGGAGGGTTTCAGGCAGGTAGGCACAATGGACTATTTTTTCTCTCTTGGGCTGGCACCATGAGGTGTGACTGTTGGCTCCACCCTGGCATGCTGGCTGGCACAGGGAGCACCCGGCCTCTTTGAGCCAACAAAAAATTCTCGATGAGCCCGTTTATTAGATGAGCCTAGGTGAGCACAACAGTCTTCGGGCTTAACAAACTCACAGGCAGGAGGTTAAATGAACTCTTTCAGAGGGCCAGGTTAACATCGGGTTCTCTGGAAGAGGTGTTTTACAAAATGGTACCCTGGGACAACAGGTTATTTATGCCCTCTTAGGGCAGTACTTTATACTTAGTATTATCCTGGGCTGGACTCATCACAGATTCAAGTTCAATAATAATACCTATTACACTCTCCTGCAAGGGCTATCACTCCTTCTGCATTTTGTAGAATTCCTCATGCACGACAGGGCACAATAAACAGTCAATAATAATGTTTACTATGATAATGATCTTCCAAATGCCTTTCATCTGAGGATCCCAAAGTGCTAGGTAAACACTAATTAGTTAAGCCTCACAATGGCTCTCTGTTTTTACAATACATTTTCCTATTTTATAGAATTTTAAATTGAGACCCAGCAAACTTAAGTGGCTTGTCCAAAGTCATACAGCAGGTTTAAATTAATGATAATGATGATGCTTTGCATTCACACGGCATATGTTTTCTAAAGCAATAAGAGTATGTTGCAAAGATAATTTTCACACCATCCCAGAGGAAGGTGGGTAGCAAGTATTATTAGCTGTTGACTAAATTGGGTAAACTGAGGAGGCAGGGAGGGTAAGTAACTTGGTAAGGATTAGACCGAGGATACGAGTGCCTCCTCTGACTCTCAGGGCAGTGCATCGTCCCAGACAATCCTCAATTCTCTGAACTGAGGGGTGCATGCCTGCTTTTGCCCTTACGGGAAAAATAGCTACATTCGTGGAAGCAGAGACAGGTTGTAGAATGACAGCCATATTTACATCCAGGAACGGGTTTGTTCATAGTCCCGGTGAGAGAGGCAAAAGGGAGGAGATGAGCCACTGCAAGTAAGGATGGCTTGGAAAATGAAGGGAACGGGGGTGGCTGAGGGAGGCTGGCAGCACCACTCTCTTACAGAAACATCTTTACCAACCCAGGGCCCGCCTGAAAGCAGTAGCCTTCAACAGCCTTCTTCTGTGTTTCAGCCTCACGACAGGACTTGCTCCGGTGCAGCTTGGATGATGGGCACAACCCTGTCACTGGCACCTTCGTCTGATGTTACAAGTCCTTGTGAAAGAGTTCCAGGGACATGCAGTATCTTACCAGCTGTCTCTTACATATTATCAGCTCTTAATCCCACAGCTCCCTATGCTAGGAGGGGCCTGGGAATCTTCTATGTTCAAAAACTTGGTAGCTGGGGATACATTCGCTGCACCTTTTCTTAGCAACATAGCCACATCGAAAAAGATGAAAACATGAACGAAAATATATGAAGATGATAGAGACTTGCCTCCTGCTGGTCTGGCAATGCTTTCTTAGTGAGTTATGATACTCCACCAGGAGGCAAGTCAGACTTTGCTGGGTGGGGGAGGAAACAGGCTGCTGGGTCTTAGGAATTCACAGGGGGATTTGCTGACCCCAGATAGAGCCCTACTCTCTACAAACAAGACACTTGAGATAAGTTTGCTGCCCTACCCCCACCCTGCCTTCTCCAGGCGTGTGGATTCTGATTGATGACTAGACCTTGGGCTAATGGGAAGCCTGAAAGGAGGGCGCCAAGCCCTTTTCTGGAATGTGGTCACACATACAAGCACAATGGCAATAAAAAGTCTGAAGTGAAGAACTCACACCAATGCCCACGTCTTCCTGCTCTCCTTTTTGACTGTTTCCACTTTCCCTTGCTGCATGGGCAACTTGGAGGTGCAGTGACCGGAAAGGGGGGTGAGCCGCTGGAAGGAATAGTTTAGAAAAGTGTCCTGAACGCACATCATAAGCCTATTCTGCTGTGCGGAAAGGAATGCGCAGAAGACCCTCCCACCCACTGTTACTCTTCACAATGGAGTTGAGAGACTCTGCTGTCAGCTTTAAAGAAGTTAGCTTTAGGTAAGAACTTCACAGAATGCAGCCTTGACTTTCTAAGTATGCCAGCGACCCAGGTCACAGCTTCCCGTGTCTACTTTGACATGCTGACTCGTGGGGTGACAGTGCACAAAATCTCACTGGACTCACAAGGACTGCATCATCCTCTCGAGATGTGCCCTTAACACAGCCTCCCACAAAAGGTTTGCAGCCAGGTCAGACACAGTCCTCAGGATCCACTCGCATGGTTGGCCAGAGTGATTCGCATTATCCAGACACCAAAAGCATTAGTGTGATCTCCTGCGTGCCACTACAGGGTCCTTTGGTTTTATGGCAGCCTTCCAGGTGCATTTTATGAATGTTTGATTCATTTTGTAAATGAAGACACCTGTAGGGCTCCTGTACACATGGGTTCTACTTCACAGCCCAGCCTTCCTGTCAGTCACAGACACGCTTTCCTCCTGCACAGTCTTTGGGCATCAAGTATCAGAATAGCTTTGAAGGGATCACGAATGAGCACTGTCATAATAGCGCTTTAGCACTTGGGGTGGGAAGATGGGAGTTGGGTAAAATTGAAACAAAACCTGACATTTGCAAACTCCTCCAAGATCTCAAAAGCAAAAAGCAGCTGGATTTTTTTTTTTTCTCTCTTTTCCCCATCCTCTGGTTTGGCCTCAAACAGCAGGAGTGAAAGATGAAGAATAATCACGAAGGCTTTCTTTGTACTGTTACCTTCTAGACAAGGGAGACAACCTGGGAGACTTTTAACAATTCTAAGAATTCCTGGATGGATTAGATAGGCTCAGGATTCCACCGAGTTTCCGTAAAATGGCCACTGCCCACAGAAACTTACCTCTGGGGAATCACTGGCAGACCTCTTTGAAATGTAACTAAAGAAAGGAAGATGTTCCCTAACTGCTGGTATACACAGACCCAACTTCCAAATGGACACGAAATGAACAAATAAGATCTGTCTTACCCCATCCATGTGGATTCTGATATTAGGCACCAGCCGGAAAGAGCGGGACTGTAGAGCTCTGGGGTTACTCTTGCCTCTCCTGCCGTCCTGCGAGGTCAGCACACCAGGCCTGCGGAAGGAGCCCCCTCTCCCCAAGCTCTGCCCCGAGCGCACACCGTCTAGAAGACGCACGAGCAGCAGGTTGGCCGGCAGTGCCTCGATGCTGCAAAACACCAGGGTCCTGCATTCCGGGCACCTCAGCTCCTTGTGGGCCTTGAAAATCCTCTGGAGACATGGTTTGCAGAAGGTGTGCTGGCAAGGGAGGACTTTGGCCGTGACATCGAGTTTTTCAAAGCACACGGGACACTCCAGAAGATCAAGTAACGTCAAATCATCCATTTTATTTTAACACTCCACTCTTGACCTGGAGGGGCAAAGTCCGCATGGTAGGGTGAGCTGAGCCGAGGGGGCAGATCCGGGTCTATCCTATCCTATCCTATCTGGAGCTTCAGAATTCCTGCCTGTTTGAATGAGAAAGGAAGAGAGGAAAAAAATGTGACTGCTCAGAGAGGTATATCCCACCTACATGGAGGCAGTGTCTCATAAGGCAGCTTGCAAGCACTTTGTTCCAGCACCCAAGTTTCAAATGACTCATTCTGATTCAGTGCTAGCAGGTATAAGGCTCAACTCCTGCCTGCTGAAGGATCTGAGGGAGCATTCAGCATGGTGACCGACTACTTACTCATTGCCTCTCGGCGTGCAAACAAGAGCAGAGGCAAAACGGGCCTGCAGAAGAGCCCTCTCGGCCTCGAAGGGGGTCCCCCCACCCCCCCGCCGCAGACAGTCAATTTCAGTTCCCACAGCAAGACCCCCATGGAACACAATTTCTGTGAAGCTATCTATTCCTCCTTCTTCCCCTACTTTTATCTGTTATCTGCAGCACATGCAGACAAGTTGTGTAGATAAGTTTATCTGAACCTTCTGCAGATGTAGAATTATTTCCTTCACAGTGCACCTTCCCCCATTATTTTGTTCTAGCACTGCACAAGAAAAATTCTTACTAGAAACGCATTTTCAAATTGTTTGCCTTAAGTACAGGCCAGGGTGCTTGGAAGCTTTTTTTCTTTTTTTCTCCTCTCACTCCCTCCTTCCCTTTCTTTCTTTTTTTCTCCCTCCCTCCCTCCCTTCTTTCTTCCCTGATTATTCTAGCCTCAGAGACGATATTCCACCCACAAGACGACGTCACACAGCCTGTTTAGTTTCTTGGACAATTGTTCTCAGTTCTACCTGAAGCAGATAGGAATTCTGGATTGTGGTCACAACCTGCAAAAATCCAGACAGAGCAGTGTATACAGGTGTGCGTGTGTGGTCTGAAAACATCCTTACTCCAGTAACAATTTCCTTTTAAATGTCTGAAAAGAAGTCTCCAGTTGAGATAAGTCTCCCCGGAAGAGGTCACCTGTCCTCACAAGTGCCAAATTTTGGGTGAGCACAATGCCCAGGAGGTTTGGCCGGAGGGTGGGTGGCCCCGCCAGTAAGGGAAGCAGACATGACTTACGGGGATGAGAGATGGCGCCGTGCCCTCCTGAGACAACTCTCCAAAGATGTCAGCTCTGGGGAGACGTGCGGGGGGCCACTAACCTTGAGCTTGTAAACCCAGCTGTGTGCAGCTCAGCACAATCCTCTGATCCTCTGCTTGGCCAGGCTTCCTCCAACTGGCTTCCTTTCCCCCAAGAGCGGCTGCCACGCTTTGAAAACTTTAACAACTCTGAGTCTTACTCATTTCAAGGATCGCCTTACTCAGCCTTTGTTAACCCTTTCACCGCCTGGCAGCTAGCAGCAATTTCTGACTTCACTCTGCTGACTGATCCTTCCTTCATGTAACTGAGTTGATTTCTGGGAAAAGATTGCAGGGGACAAAATATAAGCCAGCCCCCAAGGCTAAGTATTTACAGTTTATATTTTCACTTTTCTCATTGTCTCTCTTATCCAAGAAGTTGAAACACAGCTCAGTTATAAACATGCCAGGGTGATTGTGTTTATTTTAAACCTTTATAAGGATTTGCTGAAAAGGTCAAACATATTAATGGCAGCTATTACAAAGATAACCCAGTCACCTAAAAAGTACTGCTCCTTAAAACCAGAGTCAGTACTTGAATGTGTGGATTTGAGACGGACTTCAGTGGTCTTTTTGCTCAATCTCTTTAAATAAATTAAAAAAAAAATCTCATTATGGTAGTACATACACCTCTTTGAAAAACCAATGCACAGAAAGGCTTTGAAAAAGGAAAAGCAATGGTTCCAGACTCTCTCCCTGCCAGTGCCTATTGGAATCTTTTCACAGCACCACATAATACTTCTATTTTCATTTCTTGATTTACCAATAATAAAGTCACAGAGGTATTCAATAAAGTACATAATAATAATAATAATAATAATATTACTGAACACCATAGTAGCCCTTATCTTCACTAAGCACTGTTCTACCTTTACCTGTATTAACTCATTTAATCCTTTTAGCAACCTGTTAATTCACTATACTCTTCTTTACCCCTCATTTGCAAAAGAGGAAACTGAGACACAGAGAGGTTAAATAACTCATTCCAGGAGTCACAGCCAGCAAGAGACAGGTGTTCTGTGCTTTTTACTACCATGTCATATGGTGATACAGCTTTAAGGGGAGGAGAGATGGTTGAAGGGAGATAAACCTCATCTGAGATGGCAGGAAGTCAAAAGATAATGACCCAAACTGACCAATCAACTGCTTTTGCAGGTGAGACAGCTATGCCCACAGAGATCAAGAGATTCCTTGAAGTTGCCCAGTAAGTTAGGTAGAGCTGAGGGAAGAAACTGGTGTTTGTTTGTTTTTTGAACTATATCTTCTGTCTCAATTTAAGGATGACAGTTCTTTACTATGCGGAAAGCACTTAGCCACAACTCCATGGGAAAATCTTAAGAGGGGACCAAGAGGCCTGAGAACGGATGGTGATGGATTACATGTTTTACAAAGTTCTTCCATGTTATTTCTGAAAAAGCAAAGACGCATGGAGCTCAAAACAGGAGGGGGCTTTAGGATGGAGCAGACAAAGTCACATGTCTTCTGAGCACAGACACCAGATTTGAGTACGTGTCAATTTCAGAGACCATTTTCGAGTCTTTTTTCATCTCTCTTTTATGAAGGTTTTTTTGGGCTTCAGTGACACCAAGTCCCATTCTGTTGCCTGTCTCCTTCAATAATTTCCACTTTTATAGGTTCTGTGCTCATCAGGAAGCCCCTTGTAGTCTGACACCCTTGTTCCTTGCTCTTTTTCCCACTTGGTAAAGCTGGGCCCTCTGCTCTGTGAGCTGCCCCACAGTGGCCTCACGCTCTAGAAAGGTCTGCTCCAGTGCCAGAAATCCTGCTGCAGGGGTGGGCAACATTTTCCCTCCTTCCCTCTCTTGTTCTTAAACACTCCACCTCCCTTAGATGTCCGTACCTGCACCTACGAGCACATGTACACACATAACTTGCATAAACATACATATAATCGTAACAGTAACTTTTATGAAGCACTTGCTGTATGCCATGGACCAGCGCTAAGACTTCAAACAGATTGCTCATTAAATCCTCCCAACCACCCAATAAGATAGGTGCTGTAACTTTGCCAAGATTGCAGAGCTTACGATCTGAACTCAGGTTGGCCCAATCCCAGGGCCTATAAAGTTATGTGCATGCCGCAAGTATACTGATACATCTTTACTGTTTAAATCCATACACATCTATATATATGTCCAGACTGTACATATCAGCTGATCTCAGATCCACCCTAAGCCAAAATGATATAACCTGTCCAGTCTCATGGCTCCTCTATGCGACTACATAGTCAGTGGTCTCAAGTAACTTCAAACCCTCCCAGCCCTGACAAAACTCAAAAACCCAGTTCCATTCCAGGAAGGCGGGATAGATCCAGTAGGCTGTCCTGCGTTAGCTTATCTGGCAGTTGATGATTCAGCAGAATAGCAACGTGATGGGAGAATGTCAGGCACTAGTGAAGGACAGACAAAGTTTACACTGAGCAGGAGTGGTCTTTTAGCACCTCTCAAATCAAACCCTGTAGGTGGTCCCCTATACCACCCACGGATGGGGTTATCTCGGTAGAAACTTTAGAAGCTTTTGAAGAAAGGGGAGACTTTTAAATGGGGATTTCATCCTGGCTTACCCAAATACTACCTTGGCGTCAAGTCAGATGAACAAGTAGTTCCCCAAAATAAACAGAAAGGTGGATGATGCCTGCCTTCCCAGACTCCAGGCTCAGGCCACCACCTCCACTGCTCCCATCCCATCAACACTCCTTTTTATATTTATACTGTTACATAATGAGTACAGGCTGTACTTTTAAAATACCTGTGTGATATGTTTAGGAGTTTTCTTGCTGCTTATATTTACAAGTATATGTCCATTTATGTAAAAAAAAAAAAAAAAAAGAAAGAAAGAAAGAAAGAAAGAAAGCCAATCTGATCATACTGCTACCCTGTTCACAACCTTTTAGTAGGTTCCCACTGACTTTAGGTAATACCCAAATCCCTTTTCTGGTGTAATCTGGCTCCTGCTTACCTCTCCTGCCTCAACTTACCCCACATCTCTCCTTCACTCACCCACACCAGTCCCACTGGCTTTCTCTCTTTACTGAGGAGATCAAGGTTTTCTGCCATGAGGTATTTGTTGTGCTCTTCTTTGTCTGTGATTCACAGTTGCTAGTTACACTCTTCCTCTCTTCCTACTTACTCTCCCCCACCCTTTGCTTTTTTTACCCCCTCCTCTGCAAGTTTTAGCTTAAATGCCACTTCCTCAGGGAAGCCTTCCTTGATTCTCATGACTAGAGAGTTTATCATCCTGTACTTGTCCTTCATAGCAGTTATCACAATCGTAATTTGGTAATTATGCTTTAATGATTTAATGCCTGATTCCCCAAACAGACAAGCTCCAAGAAAGCAAGGCACTTATGTGTCTTGTCACTGCTCTTTCCCTCAAACCTAACACAGTGACTGGCATGTGGTTGTTTATAAATGTTTTTGAATGGTTTATTAATGAATGAATGGTATTCTCAAAAAAAAAAAAAAAACGTGTCTGGACAGATATACAACAAACTGGTTTTTGTGTTTGTTTGTTTGTCTGACTAGGCTCCACACCCAGTGTGGGGCTTAGAGTCAAAACCAGGAGTCACGTGCTCTACTGACTGAGCCAGCCAAGTGCCCGCACCAAACTGTTGATAATCATTTTACCTTGGACACCTCTGGGGAGCCACTTGGAATATTGTTAGGCTCATCTCTTAGTCTAAGAAATTTTTCAGATTCGGGTATATGCTACCTGGAAGTGTCTTTGCTCAGGACCCTGCCATACATCTCTTGCCTCCTGCCCTGCTGCTTCCCTGATGCTGCTGTATGGGATACCCTCAGGAGCTTGCTATACACCCACATATGCATGATCCAGAAGTGTGGACCACCCTTGACTAATGGGGAATCTATGGATAAACACCTTCCCCTTTCATCTTTTGGAGCACGTAGTTCTGAGATTTCATAACACTCTTCATAAGGTTCTGTGGGACGAGTACCATGCATCCACTGAATGGCTAATGCAGTAATGTACCCCTGTACTGTCTCTTCCTCATTCTCTGTATCACTCCACCATCCCTAACCCTTGCTCTCAAATAAATTGCCCTCAAACAAGCAACCCTTTGTTTCAGGCTAAGATAGTTTCTTTCCAATTTAAAATTAGGTCACAAAAGAAGTATGCCTTTTTGGTCAGATTTACTTATTTATTGGAATTATAATTTTAGAGTTGTGTTATTTTCATTTGGCTGGCTCTTAACTCTTTGGTGGTCTCAGGCTCTTTGCCCTAAAGTTAATCATTTGTAAAGCAATCCATAAACCCACCAAAGGGGTTCAAGCAGTTAGAAATCTAAAGCATTGTAACAGAAAGGGTCAGGAGGACTTTCTTGACTTACTGGACTCTCTTTGGCAGAGGCCAAGTTTTGTGCTTCTTCGCCATCTTTCCTCAGTACCTAGTATAAATGTGGAAATGTTTTCAATATTTAAACGAAACTTCATTTTAATGTTCCTCTGATGCTAGGTTTGCCTCTGTGAAACCTTTGGAAGTATCCAAGGAGAGGAATTATTGGAGGAAAATGGGAAGCTTTCCAGTAGTGGAAAAATGGAGGAAAGCAGAATGGCAGGGGTTGAATGCCTATTAGATATTCTTTCCTTCTTTGAAAGATGCAGGCCCCAAATGAAGTTGATTGTGAAATTTCCTCCCCAATCAGGAGGATGTCAGTAGGTGAGCAGTGTACTTTAGGGTATTGGTATGCAATCACTAGACCCACAGTCAAATGACCCAAACTTCTAGCAAAGAGAACTCCAACTGACATTTTATAGAGATGACTTAAGGTCCTTAAGTTTAACGAGAAACCAGCAGTCAAGAGTATGGCTTTAAAGTCTAATAGACCTGCTTTGAATCTCAGCTCTGCCAGTTACTAGATGGAACACTTGGTCAAATTACTCCATTCCTCTGTTCCTTGAATTCCTTATGTATAAAATGAGGTTACTAATAGAGCCTGTCTCATTGGGTTGTTCTGAGGAGTCAGTGAAATGATGCATACAATAAATGCTTAATAGATGTAGGATTCTTCTTATCTTCTTTTTTTGCAGGCAGATCCTATAAGAAAACCAAAAATCAGATGGTTCTCCTCTAATCCAAACTAAACC